GAGCGATATTGGTGATGTGGAAAGATTTAAACAAGTTAGACATCAAGGGGAAAACACCTTGGTAAAAATAGACCCAAAGAATCACAGGATAGACTATTAGACAGAGTACCGGTATTTCTGCTCTTTCTCCCTTGCCTGGTTCCTAGGAAATTGCTTTTTGCATATTAACATTACCCTGTACGTATCTTACCAATCATTTCCCTCAATGCTATATTGGAAGGAAGAACCCTGTTGTGATAGCATAAAAAGGTCCAAGGGAAACAGTACAAATGGAGATTTAGAAGCCTAACTCTGCCAATAATTTTTGACAAGTGCCTTAACTTCTTTGAGGCTCAGAGTTCTTATTTGCCTTGCAGGGCTAGTAAAAGAACTGAATAAAATATCTATGGAGATGTGAAAGAACAGTACCTGAGCAGTCAAAACACTCTCTATTTACTAAGTTGGAAACTAGAATTAAAGTCTTAGAAACCATAATGAATATTAATTATAAAATTAATTATGAAGTCTTGTGGTTGGCCAGGACCTCAGAGATTATCTAATCCTATGTTCTGTATTTCTAAAAGCAGCCAAGGAGAGTTTAATGGTTTGTCTCTGTTCACACAGCAAGGCAGTACTGGTCCGTACACCTGTTCAGTGTTTTTTCTGACTTCCCTGCATATAGCCCCACCATCAGTGTTTCCATTGATTTGGAATATGCCAGTCTCTACATCATCAAATCTGTTCTTACAGCGCTTTTCCTGCTTGGCACTTATATTATTACCTCTCCAGCAGCCCCTGTTATCATCACCACCAATATTTCCAACCAAGCATTCAGTTGGAGAGTAGAAATAAAGGGCAGCCTTTAAGCAAACATCAGAGGTTATATTTGGGAACATCAGCAGCTTTAAGCGTGTCATTTCAAATAAGTAGATTCTGCTAAATGGCTGGGCATTCCACAGGAGAGGACTGCAAAGGCACCCTCCTTCAATAGGATTTCTTGGTGGGGAAAATACTTCAACAGCAAACTATTGAGATGTAGATTGTTAGTTTGTATTAAAACAAAAAGCATAGTTAAACTTGAGCCTAATGACAATTGCCAATACCAGACAAGGCCAGTGTAGGTGAGATCTCTGCTTCTGACCTGGCCAACCGCTCACCTGGGGACTCTGGGATGAGAGGAAGTGTTTCTGAGACTCACCAGGAAGTTCCAAATCACTCCTGAGAGACAGCAGGGTGTAAGGGAAGGAAAGAGTGCACTGGTTCAGGTGGCCTGGGAGACTGCATCTTCCCTATCTTTTTTTTATGAAAGTAATTGAAATGTATAGTTAAAAAAAAAATACACAGGGCCGGCCGAGTGGCACAATGGTTAGGAACTGGCTTGGGACGCCAGAGGGCCCGGTTCGGATCCCACATGTGAGGGCCAGTGACACTGCCCTCTACAAAAATAAAAATAAAAATAAAAAAATACACATACACAAAAGGAAAGAAAAAGTTCCCTTTGACACTTCACTGCCATTTCCAGAATTTAACACTAACAGTTTCTGTGTGTCCTTCCAGTTTTTTAGTTTTTAACATTGTGCATATTATTCCTCATTCCTTAAGCATAGAATGACGCTTAGAGGTCATTCTATATCTATATCTATATCATCTATATCTATTATATATATATATATATATATATAAAAGATTTGCTACATTCTTTTTAAAGCTGCATAATATTCTATTGATGGATATGCCAAATTTTTCTTAACTGGTGCCATATTGATGGATATTTTGATAGTTGTATGTTTTCTGCAATTATAAACAATTGTTTTAATGAACATTGTACAATAGCTTTGCATGCTTGTGATAATGTGTTGTAAGAATGGATTTCTAAAGTGGAATTGCAGGATATGTTGATTTAAAAGATCAATAGAATATGCCTAATTGCTCTTCAAAATGTTGTACTAAAGTACATTCCTGTAACACATGTTATCAAGCTTTCTATTCTTTATCAGCTTAATACGTAAAATAATATTGTCATTGATTTGCTTTTTTTGTCACACAAGAGCTTTGATTTTTTTTTTAAGATTTTATTGGGGAATTGGGGGAGGGGAACAGCGTTGGGGAATCGGGGAAGGGGCACAGACAAGTTGCTGTCCTTTTATTCTTCAGTCTAGTTGTGGAGGACATCACTTCACTGGCCCATGTTGGTATTATCATTGCGCTCTTCCCGGGTGAGGCAGGTCAGTTGCCAGCCACTGGACGGCTGCTCACAGCTGCTCTTGGCAGTTCACACCGGCTGCCAGCTGCTCACAATAGCTATGGGAGCCCACTGCGGCTGCAGCCTATGCCGTCACTGGCAACTCTCGGCAGCCCAGCTCCAGGTCGAGCTGTTGTTCACCATCTTAGCTGTAGAGGGCAGAGCAACACTGGCCCTCATGTGGGATCTGAACTGGCAGCCCTGCTTCTCAGAACTGGCTTCCCAAGCCAACTCCTAACCAACGCAGCACTTGGCTGGCCCAGAGCTTCAATTTTTTTACAATGTTCACTGGCCATTTTCTTATTACATACCTTGTCTTTTTTATGAGACTGTTATGAATAAAAGAAAATAGCTTTTTGTTTGATATAAGTATTGTAAATACTTCCCCAGTTTGTCCTTTGAGTTTGTACCTGATAGAAAGTTTTAATGTTCAGGTAGCCAAATTTACTGATCTTTTCCTTAATGGCTTCTAAATACTCTTCTATAGTTTCCAAATATATATATATATTTCATAGATATATATTTCATAGATATATATTTATATATATACTTTTTGTTGGGGTTGGAGTTGGAGTTGTTATAATTCTTAGAGAAGGTTCTTGGGTTTCACTGAACTTGGGTTGGAATCCTAACTCTGAATCTTTATCATATTATCCAATAGCTGTGTGACTCTAGCCAAGTGACCTAACTTCTTTGGGCCTCAATTTCTTTGTCTATAAAGAGGAGGTAACTGTATCTGATATATAGGCTTATCATGAGGATTCAATTACATAGAAATATGGCTCCCAACACAGTACTGGGATAACTCCTGGGGTCTTCTTTACAGGTTAGATAGAATACTAAAATCACTACCATTATCTGTCCCACAGACTCAAGTGGGGTGGGGGGGTCACAGTACTATCAGATGACGGTGGAAAAATAATAGTCAAGACAACAATCATTTATTGAATAATAGCCTGACTAATATAGAGGTAGCAACTATGGATCGCCTACATTAAACGTGGTTACTCAACATAAACCCTTTTCACAATGAGAGTTGTACCAAGTCGTTCAAAGCACATGGTTTACGATCCAGTCAGAACTGGGTTTAAATATCAAATTCCATATTCACTAAGTGGGTGACCTTAGACAAGTTACTTCATCTCTCTGGAAGGCAGTGTCTTCCTCTGTAAATGTGGGTGTTACCTGCCTCACTGGATGGTTTTAAGAATTGTTTGACGATAACTAGTGTCTAGCTAGTATTTCAAATGTGAGTCTCCCTCCCTATCCTTTGACCTTCTATTGGAAGGAATTTTAGCCAGAGGGCTAGAAGGTGATGGGTACAAACCTAAATTATCTCCCAAAGTACCAGTTAATAAATTTTTCAGGGAATTCGAAACAAGAGTTCTGAATAAGTGAGCGTTGTACAGCTAGAATAACAGGACGCTGAGTTTTGACTTGGCATTTCAAATGTGTCATGATGAGTCTCACGAGAACATAAGCTCCACAAGGCAGGGGTTTTTGGTTTTGTTCAATGGTCTATCTTCAGTATATAAAATTGGGCTGGTACACCAGAGGCACTCAATCTACTCGAGATTTGTTAGTGGTGATAATATTTTTTGTCTCTCCTGACAGGTCGCTATGCAATGGTGGTCTGTGGAGACATTGCAGTCTATCCCAAAGGCAATGCTCGCCCCACAGGTGGGGCTGGAGCCGTGGCAATGCTGGTTGGGCCCAATGCCCCTCTGGTCCTTGAGAGAGGTTTGTAGTGACCTGTGCATGGACGGCGTGGCCAAATGCATAGCTCCTAATCGCAAACTGGCATTCCCACTCCTCAGGGCTGAAGGATGGGTTTGGGGACGATGTCACTTGCCTTCAAAAGGCCTGACGGGGGAGCAGAGGGCAGGAGAGGGAGGGGAGAGAGGAATCAGGGAGGTTTCCTCATCTGCACCATCACACTGGAATAATGATGGGTGGAATAAATGCTGTTGGTGCTGCTGACAAGGCCCTTAGGGAGCTAAACTGGCCATTGAAGATAAAAGAAGATAATTGGGTATAAAGGGAAAATGTTTCCTTTGAGACCCTTGGCGTCTATTTCAGATTTTGTTAAACTCACATAGGTGTGGAAGGGGAAAAGTAAACCTCATTTACATAAGAGCAACGATCTCTTCAGCTCCCTTGAACATGTGAGGGATGTTGAGTGGGCTCGGGCTTGGGCGCGAGACAGATAACCTGGGGACTATTTGCGCATGGTTCTCCTATCCTCTTTGCTTGATGTGGATGGGCTGCACTGTGAGTCTCTGAGTCCCTTGTGTGCCTTGCCAGGGCTCCGGGGGACCCACATGGAGAACGTATACGACTTCTACAAACCCGATGGGGCTTCAGAGTACCCGATGGTGGACGGGAAGCTCTCCATCCAGTGCTACTTACGTGCCTTGGACCGATGTTACGCAGTATACCGTCAGAAAACCCAAAACCAGTACAAGCAAGGTACGGGGCCCCAAGGGCAGAAAGTGGGGGCTCTGTGTACATGGGGCCAAGAGTTTGTCCTGAATGCTTAAGATAAGGTGTCTTCTCGCCTCTGAAAATGATCTCAAGAGAATTATTTCCGTTGAAGTCAGGAGTGATTTGACTCTTTGTTGGCAGTTTGCCACCTTTTAAAGTCTTGTGGATGTTGAAACATCTTACCTGTATTTTCGGTATGCTGTCATCAGCGATTTTTCTCTGGATAGTAGCATTACATGTTGATTTTATTTTCACTTTCAGTTTCTGAATTTTCCAGCTAAAAAAAAAACATGGACTGCTTTCATAGTCGGAAAAGAAACAAATCTTGTTTTAAATCTACAGTGAAGCCTACTTTTAAAAAATAGAAAGGGTTCTTACCTGCTTAGCCACACCCAGGTGGGCTCCTGTAACCAGCAAATTTCAGTGTGGGAAAAGGCATGTGCTGAGCATGGATGGGGTGGCTAAAGGAGCCACTGCTTGCCCCTTTGCACCACACTGGGTGAAATGCTGGCTGCCACAGCCACCTCCCATGGCTGAGGAGTCCACTTGGACCTCTCTGCCTCTGCCCATCCACCGTCAAATTGCTACTGGCTAATTGTTCTCGCCTCCTCTGAACTCTTGTGGCATTCTAATAATTTTACTCCTTATTCTCATATGGAATTTGATCGATGCTGCCCCGGGTCTCAGCATTAAAGTGTCAACTGTCCTAGGGGCAGAGGGTGCATCACCCTCCTCTTGAAAGTGAGAGGAGCAGTCTGTATTGCTGAGTCAGAAACATTGGAACCTAAATCCAAAGCCAGACATTTTCAAGTTGAGTAACCTTGGAGACATCACTAAGCTTCGTATTTTTGGAGACTCTGGAAAATAGAGAAAATTGTAGAACACGAGTCTGATTTGGAGGGATTATCTGTCTCAGAGGTTGGCAATAGTAGAGAGGAAGGATATATTTATTTCTTTCCCTTGTTTCTTTATAAGGAGTGTGCTCAGTGAAATGCTTGTATAATGAATGAACTAACCTTATGAGGGTTTGCTGGAGGTAGGAGCTAGTTCTCTGAGAGGCCTAGCATCCCTCGGTACAGTTAGATCTTGGAGAGTGGGTGTCAATGGCTTGTCTGTCATGCCACATCCTTGCTGTCACACTTCCTCTTTCAGCTGGCATCGATCGACCTTTTACTCTTGATGATTTACAGTTTATGATCTTCCACACCCCCTTCTGCAAGTTGGTTCAGAAATCCCTGGCTCGTCTGATGTTCAATGACTTCCTGTCAGCCAGCAGCGACACACAGAACAGCCTCTACAAGGGGCTGGAGGCCTTCAGGTGAGTCCTCCTGATGTGGGGAGCCTAGAGACTCGTGAGGGGTGAGGGAAGAGGAGGCTTCCTAACGCCTTGAGTCTGGACCACCAATCTCTCCAGTGGGGGAAAAACAAGGACAATTCTCCAACACAATAGAAGTGACACCAAGTCCTAACAGGGGTCCTTGTCTAAATGGGGCCCTCCGCCTTTTATCTCAGGGAGCACAGGGAGTTGGCCAGGACCTCTAGATCAAGTGACATTAAAAAGCTTCAGAGAACGAAAAGGGGGAGAGGGAGTATGGTCTTACCATTCAGTCAATAAACATTTGATGAACATCCCCTCTGTCAGGCATCATACTAAACTCTGGGGACACAAAAATGAATGTGACTCCATGATCCCTGCTTAGAGGCTCTCACAAGTTGATATGGACAGAAACACCTAGAAACAAATAATCGCAGTACAAGACAGCAACCTGTGGTGGAGTATAGTGTGGGAGTGGAGTCAAGGGAATTGTAATAGACATATATGATATGGGGGGTAGTGGGGCAGCGGATTGGGGGAGGGGGTTGTCACTGTGAGGGGTAAAAAGTATAACTATTGCACTGTGTTGTACAGCTGAAACTAATTTTTTTAATGTGTATTTCACAATAAAAAAATTCTAAAAAAAAAAAGACAGCAACCTGTGCAGTGTCCACTGTCATTCTGACTTGCCATTGACCTCATTAACGTCTTGCTTATTGCCTCAGTTTCTCTTGTCTATGAAATGAAGATAGTCTAACTCCCCCCTTTAGATGTCAATAAAGCAAAAAGGATGCCATTTATTAATGTAGTACTCTGAGACGTTTAGAAAAGAAGAATCTTCAGTACAAAGAGTTCCCACTGGGAAGGCCATCTTTCCCTTTCTTCTTGATAACTGTTCATGTCAAGGTTTGCAGTATTCTACCAGTATCTGCCGCTATCACTAACTACCACTAGTAACCCTGACACTTAACTAAAACCCCCAAATTAACACATACACTGCTTATAAGACCCTCCCCATGAGAAAAGAAAAAAAAATTCTAATATATAGCAAAGAGACTAGCTTAGTATCTTTAATATACGCAAGTCTCATCAATAATAAGATAAACACCCCAGTAGAAAACTGAACAAAGGATATGGATAAGAAATTCCTCAAAGGAGAAATGCATGTCATCATATTTTTAAATGTGCACACTCATTAGTAACAAAGTTGAACAAGTTGCCATGTTCCTTACGTCGTTTTGTTAAAAAATTTGAATACCCAGAATTGGAGAGGCTGTGGAAAAATGAGCAATGATGGATGTGTAAATTGAGACACGGGTTTTGGGGAGTAGTAGGAAAATTTGACGCTAAGTCCTTAAAGAGGCACATACCTTTTGGCTCACTAATTTCTGCAGCCTTGAAAAACAATGTCCTAGAAGATGACTTAATGTCATAGAGAAAATTAGTTAAGGAAGCGTGCTAAGCAGAATGTATGGTGTGATTTTTATTTTCCAATAAACTAATGAAAGTAGGGATGGATTCCACAAGAAAAATAGGAAGCAGTGCTCCCTCTAAAGGGTAGGACTGTTAGTGAGATTTTCTTCTTTGCATGGTTCTGTATTTCCAAACATCCTATAATGAAACCAGGTGCCCCCAAGCCTTCTCTCTGGAAGCCGCTGCTTCTCCCCTTGTTGCCTCCCTCCCCCTCCTGTGGCTTCTCACCTGGCCTGTTCCTCTGGCTGCCTCGCAGGGGCCTAAAGCTGGAAGACACCTACAACAACAAGGACGTGGAGAAAGCATTTGAGAAGGCCTCACTGGACATGTTCAACAAGAAAACCAAGCCCTCCCTGTACTTCTCCACGCACAACGGGAACACGTACACCTCGTCCCTCTACGGATGCCTGGCCTCACTCCTGTCCCAGTGAGTCCCGCATCTGGCCCCACCTCCTACCCCCTCACCCCTGTGGTGGTCTCAGGGGTCCATCCAGTTCGGTTCCTCTTCTGGTTCAGATTTTCTTCTCTTTTCTTTTTTTTTTTTAAGAAGGAAGGAAGGGAAGGAGGGAGGGAAGGAAGAGAAGGGAAAGAAATTTGTTTCAAAGGTATAACGTGTTTCCCTGAAAATAAGACCAGGTCTTATATTAATTTTTGCTCCAAAAGATGCATTTTATTCATTTATTCATGCACAAAAATCTACATTTATTCAAATACAGCCATGTCTGGCTGACGATCTTAACTGGGGCTTATTTTGGGGTAGGGCTTATATTACAAGCACCCTGAAAATCATGCTAGGGCTTATTTTCCAGTTAGGTCTTATTTTGAGGGAAACACGGTGTGTATAGGCAGGTTTATTATCAGTATTAACCAGTTATCTCCAAAGTGAAGTACATGTTTTATGCCAGGGGCTGTGCAATATTTCTCAGGGTCTATTTGGTACAGCAAGAAATAGAAGTTTTATGCATATTTTTGTCTCCTCTATTTAATATCTCTGCTCAGTAAAGCATGGTAGTTAAGAAAGTCTAGCTTTGGAGCCCACAACCTAGGTTCAAATCTCTACCGCTTATTAGGTTTGACCTTGGAAAAATACTTCACCTCTGTATGCCTTACTTCCTCCAGCTATAAAATATGCACAGTAACAATATGTACCTTCTAGGGTTTTGATGCATGTTAAATGCCTAAAGCAATTAAAACTTTAATGCTTAGCAATACTCAAATGTTAACTGTCATTTTTATTGACATTCTATTTTGTGGGTTTTATAAGGAAATACTTGTACTATATAGTACATGCAGATAACATAGGAGATACATATACAGAGGGTGCCCAAAAAATGTATACACATTTTAAGAAAGGAAAAAACTGTATTAAAATTGTAATACTCAATATATACCAATAACAAAAGATGTAAACGTCATATGTGTACATTTTTGGGGCATCCCCAGTATATATGAACTTGATGAAATTATTACAAATGAGGGGACGATAAAAGAGTTACGACTGGTAAAGTGTCACCAGTGAACATGGAAGTCTGGAAGGTGAGTCCAGTGGTCTGACCTCCACTTGGAGATGCCTTCAGAGTCCAACGAACTCATCTTGTCCTCATGAATGGGGAGAAGTTCCTTCTACACCCCAAAATCCCGTAATGCTCACTGTGCCTTCTGTAGGTTGGATTTCAGCGGCTCTCCTCTTAGCATGCTGTCCTCCTCCTGGGCCTATCCCCTGGTCTTTCAAAAGTTCCCCTTTGTGTAGAGTGCCCAGAAGCCATCTCTAAGTTGCAAGAGGTGGACTCGATTGGGCTGATAGGTTGGTGGTTTATTTGACGGGCAGACTGTCATGCCAACGTGTTTTCTGGGTTCTGATTTCTTCTCTTGCAGGCGCTCTGCCCAGGACTTGGCTGGTTCCAGGATTGGCGCCTTCTCCTATGGCTCTGGGTTGGCAGCAAGCTTTTTTTCATTTCGAGTGTCCCAGGATGCTTCTCCAGGTGAGTCCCGTCTTCCTGTCAGGCACTTCTGACAAGATTCATCCAGTGGAAGGGCCCATTTTCTACCTGACCGCTCCCTGAGGTTACCTCCCTCTTGCTTGGGCAGAATAATGTGATTGAGAGCAAAGGGGTTTCAACAATGGAGTAAATTTATCTGATTAATGTATCTGAGGCACTTCCCTGGCTACTATGGAGAGACTAGATTGAAGAGGAACAAAGGTGGTTATGGGGAAATTAGGCAGGTTGTTCCAGCAAAGAGTCCAGGCCAGAGGTAATGATGGTTTGGTTGCAGCTGGTGATGGAGAAGGTGGTGGGTTTGAGATATCCAGTGAATATTTGTTGATTATTTTATGGCGGGTGTGATCCGAGACACTCATCTAAGTGCTCTGCGGGATGTACCTTGATGACATGAGTGTATCTGCCCATATATCTTGCTAACATGATGTGTTCTGACCCTCATTATTTCTTGGCATTGTAATCTGCCCACAGAGAACTTTCCCCCAGTTCGAGCTCCCACAGAGCCCAGCTTCTCTGCTGGACTCAGGAAACGTAGCAGTGACCATGGCCGTGACGCACGTTGATCAGTCTTGTTTTTGCTTTCCAGGCTCCCCCCTGGAAAAGCTGGTGTCTAGTACCTCAGACCTGCCAAAACGCCTGGACTCCCGGAAGCGGATGTCTGCCCAGGAGTTCACAGAAGTGATGAACCAAAGAGAGCAATTCTTCCACAAGGGTAAGGAAAGGCCAGGGGGAGGGAAGGAGGAAGCAGCTTTTCTCAGATTCCACGCCAGTGGCTGAGAACCAGGGACGCATGGCAATCTAGAACATCGCAGGTCAGGGTGAAGATGTCCATGAGATATGATTGGCAGGAGACCTGTTAGGTGCCCCAGGGTGAGAACTGGGTAGGGAAGCAGAAGGCAGAGTTGTGAAGACGGAGGAGGCAGCACGTGGCTTTGCAGTGTAGACTGTAGTTGACCACCCAAAACAGGGCACTGGACAGTGTAGTCCCTTGAAAGCCAGGTGTATGGTCTTCAAAAATGCCACCTATGTGACAGTTGAAAGAGCCCAGACTTTGGAGCTAGATATCCAAATCTAAACTGACCTGTGGCATTCACTACTTAGCTCTTTATCTTTGGGAAGATTCTGGAACTTTTCCTAGTTGTCTCAGTTCTAAAAATCACACCAATTTTCCAGGACCGTCAAACAGATTGAATGAATGCATGATAAGTTATCAACTAATAGTACTGTCTCCACCCAACTGCTCGCTTTCCCTAGCAAAGAAAATATTGCCCCAAAAAGCAACAAAAGAAAAGTAAACCAAAGCTAAAGGTATGACTAGAGAGACCAGATGGTGGTTTTAAAACAACAGTAACCAGGGCCAGTCTAATGGCTCAGTTGGTTAAAAGCACAAGCTCTGAGCAACAGGGTCGCCAGTTCAATTCCCACATGGGCCAGTGAGCTGCGCCCGAGCTGAGCTGACACTGAGCTGCCAACAGGTGGCAGGATGGCTCAGCTGGTGAGAGCACGTGCTCCTAACAACAAGGTTGCCAGTTCGACTCCCACATGAGATNAGGGAGGAGACGCTCATGACGTGCCAGGCCTCCCCGTCCGACACCGCCGAGGTCTGGTAGGACAGCAGCTGCACGCCTGCCTCTGCCAGGAGCCCTAGGAAGAAGAAGAAACCCCCGGTTGGCATGGAGAGTAGAGGAAGGAGTGGTGAGAGTTGGGCATCTCAGACTCCTGTGATCAAAGCTGCGGGGTGGGGGAGGAATGGTCTCAGAGCCACAGAGCTGAGAGGGAACAGGGCATCTGTCCAGCTTTAGAGAAAACACTCTGACCATCAGGCGAGGCGGGGGAAGGAAGATGAACCACCAAGCTAGAGCACTCCCTGACTTGCTGGCTGCCAGCTTCGTCCAGACCAACAGCGAGAAAAAAGAGGAGAGTTCCTCCGGGCAGCTGGCAGAGAGGGTGAAATGAGGCCCTTTGAGGTCTGTGGATACTCTGCCAAACTCGGAAGTGCTCCAAAACTCCCGGGGCGCCAGGGGACTGGGGCAGGGCAGGGTGCCCATGATGCTGCAGGGGTGTGTGACAGGCTTTGTTGGGGTCAGGAGAAGGAAACCAAGACGAGGAAACCTATACACGACGGCTCTGAGCTCCTTCCTGGGAGCTGGCTCCAAACGCAGGTCCACGGCGTGTGCTTAACATGAAAAGCAGCCCAGGTAACAGGGGCTCCGGGGTCCAACCCCCAACACACTGCTCTGTGGCCTCAGATAAGGCAGCTCCCTCTAAACTCTGTGTCTACTCCCCAGTGGTCTGGAAGCTGGCATCACAGACCCTCTGTCTGGTGAGTTCCAGATGCCCTGAGGCTGGAGAGGAGCTGAAGGAGGCAAAGGTCTGTGGAACCCCATCCCAGGATACACACAGACACACGCACACGCCCAGCCGCCCTTGCCTCAAGGGCACCGGCCAGCCATACAGGCCCCTCCTCACCAATCATGGTCGGCAGCATCGCAGGGTTCGAGGGCTGAGCCCGGAACAGGAGCAGGGGCAGCCCCTTGCGAAGAGGCACTTCCGGTCTGAAGACAGCTCCATTGAGTGCCAGNGGGCTGCCTGCCACTTGCAAAAGTTAAACATCGAGAGACATGGTTGGTGGAAAGAAAGCAGGTTTCTTCAGAACGCCGGCATTTTGGGAGGATGGCAGACTCCTGTCCAAAGGCCACCCCCTGTTCCTAGACTGGTCAGAAGGTTTTATAGGCAGGTAAATGGGAAAGAACAAAGGAAAGGGCTAACTGTTGAGAAGTCGTCTCCCAGGGTCTTCTGAGGCCTCAGGCCTGTCTCAATGTTATCTTAACTCGTATTGTCCAGTAGCCATCTGTGAAAAACTGCTAGAGGGTGGTGATCTTGGGTCTCGAAGTCTGGGAACCCCAGGATTAAAGAAGCTGTTCTTTTCAGGTTAGGATGTTTGTTAAGTAACGAGGTATGAGTAGCCTGAAAAAGGGAACAGAGTTCTTCAGTTAATCGGTGGGAGGAGAAACAGCTGAATATCAGGATGGATCCAACTGCAAACTGGCGAAGTTTAATTACAATACCTTATTGATTTACCAGATTTCACCCTTATAAGCAGGTTCACCAGCTTTGGTACTGCCAAGGAATTGTTTGTTTAAAATGGGGTTCTTAAGGGCATGACAGTGGCAAAGAGGGGGTTATCTGTGTGAAGCTAGTTCTGTCATCAGGAGCACAGGAGCGGGGAGGGAGGCAGGGCTGGGCAGGGAGGAGGAGAGAGGGAGAAAGAGAAATTTGGGATTTTCAGGGGCAGGCTTGCTCCCGCTCCTTGTCCACAGCTTCTCGCAGTGGCAGTGCGTAGGCAGCACCGCGCCTGGTGTACCTGGTGTACCGTAGAAGAGAAAAGCTGCAACTCAATGCACTCGTCTCAGTCAATGACTGACAAGCCAAAAACCTACCCCAATGAGATTTTAGCCGAAATAAGGATTTTAGGTCGGTCAGCGCTCTGTGGAGCTCTGCACTGCCCAGCCTGCTCTCTTACCAGGCAGAACGCGTCATGGGGACCCTGCCCGCCTCCCAGTCTGGGCTCCGGTGGTGGCGGTGGTGGCGGTGGTGCTGGGCACCGGTACCTCAGGCATCCAGGCTGGGGGGTGGAGTGCAGTGGCGCATGGATAACCTCAGGATGCAGTTAGGAGAGCGCCCCCCCTGGGCACAGCCCTGCCACCTCCGGCAGGAAGCAGGTACTGGGGGTGGGGATGCCCAGGATGAGACATTGAATGTCCTGCTTTTGTTTTTTTCAAATTCTACAGCTCCATGGAGTGGTTTCTGGGAAGAGGGTGCTAGCAGAGCTTTTGCCCAGGAATCAAAAAACAGAAAACCAACAACCCACTCTCAGCTGGTAAATAAATTGGATTGGACACAGCAGCCCGCATAAACGTAGCCCTGGAGAGGGAGGGGCCACCCTCAGGGGGTCCTTTTCCTGCTTGGTCACTGCCCTGAGCTTTTGCTGCTGTGGACCAGGGACCCTTCATGGAAAAGAGATGGAGAAGAGGCCTAGCCTTGAATCACTGACCCCCAGAAATGTGGCTGATGGGCTATCTCCTTCAAGATCCAGATAGCTCGCTTACCATTTGGTATAGCTTTGTTGTTGTTGTTATTATTATTATTATTATCATTAAATTTCCGTGCTGTTATACCTTGATTCATTTCTTAAGATTTTCTGTGAATTTCTAAATGTTATACCTGGTACTAAGCTAATATATATAACACAATTAAAGAGACAGAGAAGTGGGGGAGGAGGTAAAGGGAGTCAACAGTGTGTGATGGACGGTACCCAGACTCTTTTTGGGGGGCAGGAGTGATCACTTTGTAGTATATACAGATGTTGAATTATAATGTTGTCCACTTGAAACATATAATAAAAAGGATAAAAACAAAAGGCAAGAGAGGCTACTAGACCCCAATTGTGCACGGAAACAAAAATCACAAGCAATAAAGTTATACTCAAGAAGAAAAAAATGGGGCAGGCTGAGTGGCTCAGTTGGTTAAAAGAGCGAGCTCTGAGCAACAGGGTTGCTGGTTCGATTCCCACATGGGCCAGTGACGCTGCGCCTGAGCTGAGCTGGCACTGAGCTGCCAACAGGTGGAAGGATGGCTCAGCTGATGATAGCACGTGCTCCTAACAACAAGGTTGCCGGTTTGACTCCCGCATGGGATGGTGGGCTACGCCCACCCACAACTAAGACTGAACACAGCATCTTGAGCTGAGCTGCCGACAGGCGGCCGGATGGTGTCTGGACTTGGAGCTGAGCTAGCTGCGCCCTCAACTAAGATTGAAGGACAACAACTTGGCTGTTCCCCTTCCCCAATTCCTCAATTCCCCAATAAAATCTTAAAATAAAAAGAGAGAGAGAGAGGAAAAATACAGGAGGAAATGACTCCTGTATTTCCTAGATACCAGAACATGAAAAAATGCACCAGCTGACACTCAGAGAAGCCTGCCAGACCTCCCGGCTCTGGGGGTCCTTACTTTCCCCCCAACTGGAGCCTGCAGCTACCCCCCAGTGGTAAAATCGCAGAGCACTCAGTTTACAATCTCCCCTTCTCTCCCCCGCCCTCTCCTGCTCCTACACCATTCTCTAAGAGGGGAGGGGAAAACACAGGTGGTGAAACAGCTGAGGTCCCTCCAGCTTCCTGCCCTGAGCTACAGATGCCTGCAGGGCCCAGAAAGGACGAAGGCAGCTGTACATCAAAGCTCCTTGGTCATGTGGTGCCAGAGTTCATCTAGACAAATAAACACAGGGCAGAGGTTAATAGGGTAAGGTTTTGGCTTCTCCAGCCAAAAACAAAAACAAAAAACCCTTTTGAAACCTATCAGGACATTTTTCCATTAGAGGCGGCTCTCAACCTGTGGGTCGCGACCCCTTTGGGGGTCGAACGACCCTTTCACAGGGGTCGCCTAAGACCATTGGAAAACAAAAAGATATATACATTACGATTCATAACAGTAGCAAAATTACAGTTATAGAGTAGCAACGAAGAGAATTTTATGGTTGGGGGTCACCGCAACATGAGGAACTGTATTAAGGGGTTGCGGCATTAGGAAGGTTGAGAACCGCTGCCTTAGAGGATTGCTGGACTCCTTGGTTAGGGCACTGCTTTTCCCAAATCCCCTCGTAAAATACAGTAGCAATGGTAGGGGAGGTGGGGGATGAGCTAAAGATGGGAGTGGAGAGAGGGAGACACCAGGAGGTTGTCATTCATTTCCTTTTAGAAAGTTTCCTCAGCCATCCCAAGAGAATCGGACACTTTGGAGAAGAGGATCGTTTCCATTGGTGGGGGGCAGGGCTGGTTGGGGGGCCCCAGGGATGACGGGACACTGGACACGTGGGAAGGAGATGCTGGGCCCACCCACTTCGCTGCCTGCCCAACGCTGTTCACGTCCCCTCAGGCACCGGAAAAGACCGCAAATCCGAGATAAACCCCCATTTGAGCAGCGACTCCAGCGCCAGCCGACTCCCTTCCCAGGCCCTCTTCCCGGGCTTGCTCAGCTTCCATCCTATGACACCAACTGTGGCTGCCGCTTAGAAGCCCCTTTGCTGCCCCTTGCGGCCTGCTCCGCTTTACAAGTTGGTGTGGCATTCCTGACGAGACACTGTGCGCCTGTCCTGAGATCTCCCGAGTCGTGTCCATAGTCCTGGGAGAAAAGCCCATCGGTACCTGCGTTCTGGAGATCAGACTCTGGGCCTTGCCCTCTGTCCATACAGGAGTTCACCCGGAGCTGTTGGTGCTAAAACCGCCTCCATTGGCCCTAATAACCAGGACCTCCCATAGCACCCAGTGCTGACCAGTTGAATGGGTGGTGCCCAGACCCCCGCACACTTGCTGAATATCAGCCTGGTTCAACTGAGGGCACTCAGAGTGGCGCTGCTCACCGCCAGCATTGCACGGACGTTCCCGCCCCTCCAACTCCAGTGTTCACTGCCTTTGATCCTGAGCGCCGGCCTTCCTCAGGCAGTTCTGGGATCCACCTCCTTCACACTTGACTCCTGCTGGCTCTCAACATAGCCCTCTTCCTGTGTAAGGTCAACGTAGGAGGAAATGAGTTTTCCAGTTGCTCTGTCACCACTTTCACCCTAAGGTCTGCTAATATCATGCAGATAAAGCACTTCCTTGCGTGGGGAAAAAAAAAATCACCCAAGGCGACCTACAGCAGGAAAGAGGATGGAGTGATTCTTGGAATAGGACATTGAGCCATGTCATCGTCACCTCAAGCAAGAATGCTCAACATGGGGGCGGCCGGTTAGCTCAGGTGGTTAGAGCGCAGGCTCATAGCACCAAGGTTGCTGGTTCAATCCCCACATGGGCCACTGAGCTGCGCCCTCCACAACTAAACTGAAACAACTACTCGATTTGGAGCTGATGGGTCCTGTAAAAACACACTGTTCCCCAATAAAATTTTAAAAAAGAAAGAAAAAGAATGCTGAATATATTCTATTCAAACAGATGTGAAGAACAGACCGACTCACTGCCCACAAGGCAACTTCAGGTCTCCAGGGGATGCACTACACACACACACACACACACACACACACACACACACACACACACACACACAGTTTCTGTGATAAATTTCAGCGTTCCAGGAGTCAGCACTCCCAGCTCCAGCCTGCTTCAGCATTTGCCTCCCCACTGAGCTTCCACAAACCAGCTTCCAGGCCAAGATCCACAAGAATGAAATTCCACTGGCAAGTTAAGCAGTGCTGCAAAGCAAAGTAACACAAAGGAATAAACAGCACCCTCTGTGGCACCAGCTGAATGGACGGGGGACCCGGGACAAGGGCAATGCAATGAAATTGTGCTGTGCTTTGTGGTGCCACCCATGGCTAGGAAGATATTTTGGAATGCGCAAGTCATTTGGGTTTCTAGAATTGATCTGACTACCTGAGAGTGCAGAATGTGGCTTGTCTAGGGAGTTTTTGAGGCAAGAGGCTAGGAGGCTGAGAATTGAGCTCAGCTTTTTTTCCTTTTTGAAGTGGTGAAAAAAGTTTATTAGAAGAGATAGTACACTTCAAGGAAATAGAAGCGGCCCGAGCAGTCGAGATGGCTCAGGGCCATTATTAGGAGAAAAAGCATACTCCAAAGAGTTTGGAGCGGGCTGAGCAAAGAAGCTCAAAAGGCCTCAACTTTTAATTTCATCAACCTCAGCCTGTTTTTCCAGCTCAGTGGGCTCCCTCACCAGATGCCACATGGCCTCTTTCCAGTAGGAGGCGATAGGTTGTCTGATAGTCAGGACACTCCGTCCAGATCCGAACATTACAAGATCCAGGGACAGGCCGTTTGGTGCACGGATTTCTGTGTAAGGGGCTGAGTGAGACCTACTCCTCCACGTTCAATAAAAGGCACAGCAATGAAGAAACCAAGGTCACCTTGGGTTCTTCCCACAAACCACTTTAATCCATTTAATCCTCACTGCAGGTCTGCGAGAGAGGCATCATTTTCCCTCTTACTGATGAGGGAACAAAGGCTCCCAGGAACTAAACAGTGTTCAAGGTCAGAGCTGCTCAAAGCCAACCTTGCTGTTGGGGTCCAGGCCCACCCCCTTCCAGGTCTCCACAGCAAAGCCACAACACACGTGTCTGAGCTCACTGCAGACCTGGCACAGCCCGGTGGCCTTCTTACCAACCTTTAGCTCAATCTCGGCACAAAGGAGGCCCAAGTGGTGGGTTCGCTCCTATCAGTGCCAAGCAGCTGCCTTGTGCCAGGCCTGAACCCCAAGTTCGCAAACACATAAGCTACTGGGCACAAGGCAGGGACACATCATCCCCAATAAATGGGGGAAAGCACCCTCAAAAGGTGATCAGCGAGTGCCATTCTGTCATGTTTCATAAAAATCATCTTTAAGAAAAAAAATCAATACACTATCCAACCCAAATGGAGCTGGCTTTGTGAACTTGCCAGGTATTCTCATGCCCCATGCCTACCTACACTCACGAGCTTTCTTCCCCGTATAAAATCCTCCCAAACATCCCAGCTCAATTACTTCCTCCTCTGGACTCATTTCATACGCACCTGCTGTAGCCCTTTTCTCAGTGTTTCCAGTAACCGGTGTGCTGTCCTTCCCGCCAGATAGAGGCAAATGTCTGGGTTTTAATGACTCCCTTAGGCAAATGACCTAGCCCTGTGCCTGGCACAAAACGCTTGCACATATATTCCAAGATGGAAGGCATATGAAATGCCAAGCTTTGTGCCTGTTAAAATGCCTCTGAAAAACCTGAGATTGGAGGGGGCTCCTCTTCAGAGCACCCATACCCAGGAATGGCTTCCCCATCCATTTCTCCTTCAGCACACCCTACCCTCCGGCAACGAAAACCAACCCCATGGCTGCCTGCGGACGCCCTCTGGGGGGTGTTCCAGGTAATGACAATACGGAGATGGCAGAGATTTGGGGCGGGCTCTTTATTAGGTGGTTTATTGCTTTACTGCAGGGGTCAGACAAGGTCTGCAGCATAAGCAGTGTCAACCCCAGGAATACGATCTCTCTGTTGATCACAGTGGGCAGGTTTCTTCACAAAAGCCCCAGAGGCTGGGCCTGGTGGGCCCTGAGGTTAGAAATGGAACTGAAAAGCCTCGGTCACGTGCTGCTTCCAGGCCTCCAGGCTGGGCAGCAGGGAGGAGACGCTCATGACGTGCCAGGCCTCCCCGTCCGACACCGCCGAGGTCTGGTAGGACAGCAGCTGCACGCCTGCCTCTGCCAGGAGCCCTAGGAAGAAGAAGAAACCCCCGGTTGGCATGGAGAGTAGAGGAAGGAGTGGTGAGAGTTGGGCATCTCAGACTCCTGTGATCAAAGCTGCGGGGTGGGGGAGGAATGGTCTCAGAGCCACAGAGCTGAGAGGGAACAGGGCATCTGTCCAGCTTTAGAGAAAACACTCTGACCATCAGGCGAGGCGGGGGAAGGAAGATGAACCACCAAGCTAGAGCACTCCCTGACTTGCTGGCTGCCAGCTTCGTCCAGACCAACAGCGAGAAAAAAGAGGAGAGTTCCTCCGGGCAGCTGGCAGAGAGGGTGAAATGAGGCCCTTTGAGGTCTGTGGATACTCTGCCAAACTCGGAAGTGCTCCAAAACTCCCGGGGCGCCAGGGGACTGGGGCAGGGCAGGGTGCCCATGATGCTGCAGGGGTGTGTGACAGGCTTTGTTGGGGTCAGGAGAAGGAAACCAAGACGAGGAAACCTATACACGACGGCTCTGAGCTCCTTCCTGGGAGCTGGCTCCAAACGCAGGTCCACGGCGTGTGCTTAACATGAAAAGCAGCCCAGGTAACAGGGGCTCCGGGGTCCAACCCCCAACACACTGCTCTGTGGCCTCAGATAAGGCAGCTCCCTCTAAACTCTGTGTCTACTCCCCAGTGGTCTGGAAGCTGGCATCACAGACCCTCTGTCTGGTGAGTTCCAGATGCCCTGAGGCTGGAGAGGAGCTGAAGGAGGCAAAGGTCTGTGGAACCCCATCCCAGGATACACACAGACACACGCACACGCCCAGCCGCCCTTGCCTCAAGGGCACCGGCCAGCCATACAGGCCCCTCCTCACCAATCATGGTCGGCAGCATCGCAGGGTTCGAGGGCTGAGCCCGGAACAGGAGCAGGGGCAGCCCCTTGCGAAGAGGCACTTCCGGTCTGAAGACAGCTCCATTGAGTGCCAGCAGCACCGGTGTGGTGCCCTGGACCAAGCCTACGGCCTGGTAGGGGGCCCCTGCCAAGGCCACGGTCAGGAGGCCTTCCCCGCAGGCCTGCTCCCCTGGCACGGCAGGGTTGTGGGAGATGGTTACCTGCAGAGAGAAGGCAGGGGGCACAGTTACACCTCCTGGCCGCATCACACCCACCACCCACCCTCTCCCTTGGCCCAATGATGGGTTTGTAGGACTTCAGCCTGGCAGGACGGTCAGCAGTTCAGGGCCAGCGAAGCGGGCCAATGGGCTAAGCCTCACGTCTCTGAACATGAGCTTTTCGGGATGGTCAGTGGCCTCCCGCAAGGGAAGGAGAGATGTGCCAGATACAGGTAAAGGCTTGGAGGAGAGGGCTGGGAACCAGGGACGGGGGAGGGAGGCAGAGCTGTGAGAAGGGCCTGGGTCAGCAGGCCTGCATTGGGGGTACATCCGGCCTGGCCCCTCCTGCTCACTGCTTCCTGCGCAGAAGCAGTGGCCTGATCAGGCCATAGCAGAGTGTGTGGGGGGTGGGGGCCTGACGTGGGAGCCCTGCTGCCTATCGCTTCTGCCAGCTCCCACTAGCTGAGAAACACATTGCTCTACAAAGAGAACCAGAGGGAAAGACGCCAAAGAAAAGCCACAGGGACTGCAGAGGCTAAGAGGATGTGTTGCTAGCTCCCAGAGTTTATAAGCGAAGCAAAAAACCGGGTGCCGTGGTAAGAGGAGCAGTGGATGGAGTCGGAGGCTGACTCCCAGCTTTGGTCAGAAGCAGCCTGGCTTCCTTGCCTGTGAAATGGGGGTGCTGCCATCGCCTCCCCATTCACAGAACACTTAATATGCAAAGCACTTTCACATGTTATTAGTTTACTCATAGCAACGCTCAGGGGCAGGCAGTGTCCCCACTTTGCAGATGAAGGCACAATGGCTGCCTCTCACAGGCAGACTGTCAGCAGCAGAACGTGCCCCCAGGGCTCCCCACTCACTGAACAGGGCTGTAAGCATGCTCTGAAAATGCGGGGGGAGAAGGGCAGTGCTGATGGGGAGGGGAGGGGGGCAAAGGGCAGGGCAGGTGGGCACGCACATCGAGGCCAGCCTCTTTCATCAGCAGCTTGGCGTTCACCAAGTTCACATCTGCCTGATTGGAAGCGTCTTTCAGGAGGCCGACGCTGACTGCAGGGCTCAGGCAGTTCCCGGCATTCTTCAGGGATGTTCCTAGGGATGAAAAGAGGCCACCAGAAGGGCACGTTTATTGAGCCCCACGGAGGGGCAGGAGACCACTGGCACGTAGCTGTGGGTCACAGGCTCCTAAGCCCAGGAAGATCTGCTTTACTCTAGGGGGCAGAGAGCCAGCTGGAGAAAGAGATAATGGGTGAGAAGGGCAGGACACTGGGACACTCTAAGCCAGTCTAAGAAACTCCTCTCCAAGACTCAGCCCAAGTCCACTGCCCCCGCACACCTGCCCTGCCCTGGCCACCCTGCCTGCCTGTCATTCTCAAAGGGGACACTTGACAAATGTATTACTCCCACCCCTACCTGGCACTCATGCCCTTGCTGGCCTCAGGAAATGGAAGCAGCTGAGACCCAGGGGCCTGCCTCGGCCCTTGACCTGTACTAGCAAAGCTCAGGGTCTACCCGCCCTGCCCCCCATGTCGCTCCAAGTGAGGAGATGCCCAACAGTCGATGGGAAGACAAGCCTCTGCCGGGCTTAGGGGACTGCTGTTGGCCCTGGCCTCTCCTGCACATCTGCAAAGGGCTGGACCACTGCAAAGGGCCAGAGCCTGCAGTCACTGAAGCACAAGACAGGCAGAGGGCACTGTTCTCGGAATTGCCACTCCCCGGCTGAGTCAACGTCCCTAAGGCCATTGGGCCCACCCGAGTAGGTCACAGAGCACAAAATGTCCCCATTGCCTCGGCTGGAACACCCACCCGGACTCTCACTTTACACATGAAGAACCCATGGCTCAGAGAAGGGAAAGCCACACAGCAGGTAAGCAACAGGGTCAAAACCAGAATCAAAGGCCCTGTCGCTTAACCGGGGACTTCCTCCACCAATCCTACCACCTCTTCGTAAAACTCATCTCTTGTGGAGGTCCCTCTCGCACCCAAAACATGTACATCTTAAAAATACTTCACAAGGGGCGGCCGGTTAGCTCAGTTAGTTGGAGCGCCGTGCTCTTAACACCAAGTTTGCCGGTTCGATCCCCACATGGACCACGGGGCTGCACCCTCCACAACTAGATTGAAACAACTACTTGACTTGGAGCTGATGGGTTCTGGGAAAGCACACTGTTCCCCAATACAATTAAATAAATAAATAAATAAATAAATAAATATTAAAAAAAAAAACTGCACAAAAGTTATTTGTGAAAGTTAAGTATATTTCCCAATAACTTTTTGTCCCCCTCCACGTTCTGTCCCCACTCGGCAGTAAATGAGCCATACTCAAGAGAGAATGTGACCAATGGAGTCACATGACCAAGGTCCCCTCGGAGTCCCCCACTGTCTGTGACCTGCAGCAGACACACACAGTGGGGTGCAGAGCCTATGCCCCTCTTTTCCCTCCCTCTGCAGAGTCCCCAACTCACCCTGTGTTACCACCTGGATGGTCCCTTTGGGGGACCCGGCCCAGGCTCGCATCAGTATTCCCAGAGCTTCTGCCAGACCAATCCAAGGCTTGGT